GGAGGAGGAGGAGGAGGAGGAGGAGGAGGAGGAGGAAATAGAATGAGAATGGAGAGTAATAGGAGGGGGAGGAGGAGAAAGGCCACATCTATAATACTATGTTTATTTCTGCTCACCATAATACAAAGTTGAGACCCTGGAAATTGTGTAGCAGCAAAGATGGTCAAAATTCTTAATGCTAAAATACATAAATGACCTCTGTGATCATATTAAGAGCAATTGCGTTCTTTTCGCTGATGATGTAAAGCTGTTCAATACCACAGACAATACTGCTACCCTACAAAAAGATCTTGACTATGTATCAGAATGGTCAAACAAATGGCAACTTCAAATCTCAACAAATAAATGCTCTGTCTTACATATTGGCAAAAAAAATCAGAAAATAAAATACAAGCTGAATAGTCAAGATCTTGTTGATGACCCAAGCTCTGTAAAGGACCTTGGAATACTCACCTCTAATGATCTAAGTGCTAGAGCCCACTGCAACTACATAGCCAAAAAGGCATTAAGAGTTGTTAACCTAATCCTACGTAGCTTTTTCTCTGGTAATATCACACTACTAACTAGAGCATACAAAACATTTGCTAGACCAATACTTGAATACAGTTCATCAGTCTGGAACCCACATTACGTATCTGATATTAGCACAATTGAGAAAGTCCAGAAATATTTCACAAGAAGAGTTCTCCACTCCTCTACTCGTTGTAGAATACCTTATGCCACCAGACTTGAAATTCTAGAACTAGAAAACCTTGAATTACGCCGTCTTCGGTCTGATTTAAGCATGGTATATAAAATCATACATTGCAATGTCCTACCTGTCAATGAATACTTCAGCTTCAACCATAACAACACAAGAGCAAACAATAGATACAAACTCAAAGTTAACCGCACCAAACTTGATTGCAGGAAATACGACTTCAGCAATAGAGTGGTCAATGTCTGGAATACTCTACCCGACTCTGTAGTTTCTTCCCCAAACCCCAAAAACTTTAACCTTAGACTGTCTACTATTGACCTCACCCCTTTCCTAAGAGGTGTGTAGGGGGCGTGCATAAGCGCACCAACGTGCCTACCGTCCCTGTCCTATTGTTTCTCTTATTCTTCTTTTATTTTTCTTATATGTACCCATTTCATATATTCACAACTATGTATACACTTATACTTATTATCTTGTAAACAATTGGCAAATCAAATAAATAAAAATAAATAAATAAATAAATAATTGAGGAAACCAGGTATGTCCAGCCTATTAAAGAAGAGGATTAGGGTGATATGACAACTATCTTCTAGTACTTGAGGAGATGTCACAAAGAAGAGGAAAGGGCAGGATGATGGAAGCTTGTTAAAGATAGATCCAACCCTAGAGGTAAGGAGAAATTTTCTGACAGTGAGAACAATTAATAAATGAAATAATTTGTCTTCTTTGGTTGCATATGCTCCATCATTAGAGGTTTTCAAAAAATACATTGGATAACTGTTTGATTGGGATGGTATAAGACTCCTACCATGAGCATGGAGCTGGAGCAGAAGACCTCCAAGGTCTTTTCCAGCCTTATGTATATTGTTGACTTAAAACAAAAGTTCAAAGATTCTGAAAAACATGATTATCTTTCTCCAGTGTTCTTGTTTTTGCCATTTCACTAACTAAAACTGTGCATTGATTTATATTAAATTAAGAATAATTGATTCTCTTCTGAAGTTCTCCAGCCTTAGAAAAATGAAGATGTTAACAAATACATTACAGATATTTAATAAATTTACACATTAAAATTAATGCAGTAGTGGAAGATTTTTCAGGATACTGAAGAGAAATTTTAATTAATTGGGAAATCTTTGCTTTTTAATATCTAAAAAACTACTGAATCCTTTTATTTTTATTTTTTGCAATGTACAATCCTAGTACACACTTTATTTGATTTAGCAGCAGTGATGGGCAATGTTTAAAGGGGAACAGAAGTATTCCTCTTTATCTTCTGGAGATCTGGAAAATGTCTCTGATATGGTAGCTGTCAGCCTTCCAGATATTATGCATTCCAGCCAGTAACTCCAAGACAATCATAATCTCAAAGTACTTTTATTAGAATAGAAACTTGGTACCTCTGTGGAATTCCAAAACTAAAGTCCCCCCCACCAGACTTCCCACAAGGACCCAACCTACAAACCATCCCCTTTTCCTCACATTGTACATCACGTGAACCAATCCTCCTTCAGTCTCAGTTCTTGCTGCGCCATTCACAATGACCTTGAATTATTAAAGAATCTATTTTGTCTACTGAGAGCTACTCAAACAACATCAGCCCCCTCCAATCTTCCGCAGCTGTGTGGCAGCTTTTAATAACAATTCCAAAGCTGACAAATATCCCCCCCTTAAGAAATTCACCTCCTAAAAAGAAACATAAGAAACAAATACAAACGGGTTAATGTTATGTCCTAACCCCCTCTCCCCACTCCAAGAGGGCCCTTTGGCTTGTTGGGAAATTCCTCATGAAATTGGTTAACCAATCTATCAGCATGTACATCCCAACATTTTACCCAAGTTGCCTCCGAGATTGGGTAACCTTTCCACAATACTAAGTATTGTAACCATCCTCAGTGTAATCTGGAATCGAAGATTCTCTTAACCTCGTAATGCTTCTCACCCTGTATGAGTAAAGGCTGAGGGGGAGTGGTTGTCAGTGGTCTTATTGTTGATGTAACAGCCGGTTTTAGTAAACTACTATGGAACACTGGGTGTATTTTTCCCAGTAACCAGGGAAGACTTAATTGGACTGTGTCTGGATTGATTACTTTTGTTATCGGGAATGGGCCTAAAAATTTTGGGTCCAACTTCTTACTAGGGAGTTTCAATCTAAGATATTTTGTTGACAAATATACTTTATCTCCCACTTTAAATGGTTGTTGGAGGGATCTAAGTTTGTTTTTTTGTAGTCCTTAGCAGCTTCCATCAAAGCTTTTGTTGTATCCCCCCAACCCTTTTTTAATGAGTTCATCCATTCTGTTACAGACATGGATGTGGGGGGTTCTTTCAGTAATTCTGGCACAGGGACAAATTCCATGCCCGTATTGATTTGGAATGGAGTCAATCCTGTGCTGCTATGTACTGCATTATTATAAGCAACCTCCGCAAATGGTAATAACTCGGCCCAGTTTTTTTGCTGATAATTTACATAGCATCTAATGTATTGTTCCACCTCTCTGCTGCTCCATTGCATGCTGGATGGAATGCTGAAGATAATCCTTGAGATGACCCAAGAGACTTTAGAAACTCTCTCCAAAATTTAGCAGTAAACTGTACTCCTCTGTCTGAGATTATTCTGCGAGGTACTCTGTGTAGCCTAAAGTTATGCTTCATGAAGAGTTTTGCAAGCTTTTTTGCAGATGGAAATCCTTTACAGGCTGTAAAGTG